TTTTAGCCACGCACTTGGCGGCTGCTTCTGAAGATCTTGGCCAGTCTCTTTGCGAGGCATTTCAATTGGCCGTTCTATGAAATTAGCACCTGTCTCTCCTGATGCTCCGCAGCGTCTGTGGTCCAATCCATTTGAAATTCCGCAAAATCATTATGGCCCCAACCGATTCGTTTCGATGATTCCGAAAACGCTAATAGAGCAATAGCTGATCCTCGCTAGCTGATGATTCCTCCCCCTGGCCGCACTTTAAGCCCGATACCCCTTTTTGGCCCGCTTATATTCGCATTGTTCGCGTGTAATAACTCCTTCAATCGATCGGGCTGCAGATCGCTGGCAGATCAATTGCTGCCGCCTATCGACGCCACGGTCATGGCATGAAAATTGCATGCTTTCTATTTCAGATGAAATCAACTGACAATGGCCCAGCGTTCTGGTTAGGATGGGAAGGAGGAGGAGGTGGTGGAGTCTCCTGGTTCCCGGTCCATGCCATGCCATGCCAAACACTTCAATTGAGTGCGCCTGGCCATTGTTCTGCTGACGAACTTTCGCAAAAGTTTGCCTTTGTGCAATATTATTAACAGCAACTGCAACTGCAGCAGCAGCAGCAACCTCAACCACGGCAGCAACTTTGAGCTCTCAATCGAGCGTTACAATTTTCACAATCTTGCAGCGATTGGACATGCAACTGAGGCCAAGGAGTTGCACAAGCCAGAGGCCAACTCGGCTCAGATTGGGCTGGGAGACTCACCAGTTTCAGCTACTCCTCCTCCTACTGCAGCTTCTCTACAAGCTTGAATACTCTAAGATTACCAAAAGTCTTGAAAATAATAATAAGATTTGTCATTTAGGAACTTTAACATCCTTTAAATTTTTCTAAAATCGTAACATTTATTCAAGAAGAGTATCACACTATTCGATTTGGTTCATTTTCAGCTCCTCTCTTGTTATATGATCATGTATGAAGATCTGAATCAGAGTGCAGAATGCAACGGAGACTGAGACAATCGAAGACTGGCTAAAGTTCGCCACTCTCGGCTCGAATCTGGAGTCTGATCTTTGCCGCCATTCAAGGTGTGTGTATGTGCCCCACCTGCCGCCACCACCACGACCACCACCACCCAGCGATCCCCTCCAGATTTCTCACTCCGAAGATCTGCATTTGTGTGCGGGCATTAAGACAATTTATAGCCGCTAATGTGCCAAGCAAAGCCCACCACACAATTGGCCAGAAAAGACACACCACACTGAGAAAAACAGGTCACAAGGCTGCAATAAAACTCCCAATTACCAGATAACTCGGGAGATCATTTTCTTCGAGTGTAGAGAAACATTCGCCAGCGGAGGAGGATGGAAAACCGGAGGGGATCAACTGGAGAATGGCTTGTCTTGAGCAGCTTCCGTTCCGTATCATTTGTCTATTTAGTTGCGGGGCCTGCGCTTTTCCGATTAACTTTTTGTTGAACTTCATTACCTGGCGAAAATGCAATAATCGAGAAGGGGGTCTTCCCAGCCAGATCAGATCGCACTCCGAGGAGTCAGACTCGGAGTCGTAGTCGGTGTCGGTGTCGGTGTCGGACTATGGCAATTTGTATCTCCGATCGGGGGCAGAGTGAAAAAATACAGAAAAGACCCAGAGACGGACACGAACTCATATGAAGATCGCCTCCGTAATGATTAAAAATCGTGCACTGGACTGGACCCAATCGCAAAACAATATTCGCTTACAAATTGGAACAGTGCCACGTGAAACACCTGCAACATACTACATATACTATACTGTATGGTATGGGGGCAACATTGGGGAGGATCGTGGAGCAGTAGCTACTGCTCTTGAAATTGATGAAGATTCCCAGGAAGGGCAATCAAGGTGGCGATTACTTGTATTCTTTATTATCCACTGATTGTTGGTGTAATTATTTTTAAAAGAAATAGGGGGGTCAGTACAAGTTGTTTTACAAAAATACTTAAAGTGACAGCTTGACATTTGCTCAAAAATCAAGACAAATATTTTGGCAAGCTAAGGGATAAGTATTTATAATATACAGCTCCCACTAATTGCTTTATTTTAGATGCATTTTGGTTAGCATATGCACTTTGCAAGTTAATCATGAGTAAAATATTCGCGGAATGATGGAAGTCCCCTTTGATCTCGTCCCTCGATCTGGCTGTGAATTTTGATTGCCATACCCAGCTGAAGTGCTCCAATTGTCTAAAGCACTCTCGGCACCGTCCATTTTCATGCATATATAATTGTATCTGTGCAGTGTCGCATTGCCATTAATTTCGCTTACAATATTAATTACCATCAAATTTCTCATTCCGCTGATTTGTGGTCGAGGCGAGGCGAATGTGTGGCAAAAATGATTTCAGCCGCAGATTCATAAAATATCTGCCCACAATGGGGTGGGCTGTGGCTGATGCTGCTGGTTGTTATAGTTTTTGTTGCACAGACATTAAGTATGCAGCGTGTATGGTAGCCTGCCACCGCCTCAGTCCACTCTTCCCACTCATCCTTGGTCAGGCGTTGCTGTTGACATGTTGCCGTCGCTTGTTGTTGCTTTTGGTGTTGGTGTTGCTGTTGCCGCTGGCATTAAATTAGTTGTTGGCATCGGCAGTGGCAGCTAATGCAGACCACCCTGCCACCCCCTTTCCCACTTCCTCAGCCACAGCCTCTGCCCCATCAACCGGCTAACGATGCACTCAATTACAGCGACCAGTGCGGTGACGTCGCATAAATTATAGTTTATTTATTTTTATTTTCATTTTTAATTTCACTGCGGTGCTCTGCTTTTGTTTTTTTTTTTTTGTAATGCCTCCCTCTCTACGATAGCCGGGAGCTATATATTAGCAAAATGATTGACTAGTTTTTATATACCCACTATACTACATAATATCCTTATTAGTTAATTAACTTTTGATTTTACAGTATGGTAGCCTGTCTGCTTAGTTTCAAGCTTGACAGCCCACTTTTTACGCTTGCAGAGGGTATTATAATAGGAATGGTGGGCAATCGATCTAGAAATCGGTTAAGGTACTCAGCTTGAGAATCGGATAAGAAATGGGGAAGATATAGCCATCACATACCTGGAAAATCCAGATATGTGAAAGAGTGGACCTTGCGAAGAGTATATCTTGGCCAATATCCATCCGAATCTTGAACGGACTACCTTTAACGATTTGTAGGACAATTCTCTTTAAGTCTGCATCAAAACACTGAAACAAAATTTCCGATTCCATTTTTCCAAATTTTTCTGATGAAAAAGATGGGGAAAATCCAGACATGTCAAAAAGTGGACCTTGCGAAGAGGACCTTGCGAAGAGTATATTTTGGCCAATATCCATCCGATTCCTCAGATAAATACCTTTAACGATTTGTAGGAAAATTCGTTTAAGGTATTCCGCTTGAGAATCGGATGAGAATTGGGTAGATATAACCATCACTGTGGACCCTATAGGGAAAAACCTTATTCACCCCTGAAACATCCTCTTGTTTCAGAGGATATTACTCTTTTCTGATAAACTCTTAGCTAGATTATAGTATTTATTCAATTTTGAGCATTTCTGGGCGTCTACAAATTGCAGTCGCGCTTTTGAACCCAACGCAAATTCGCACCGCTGCCAGTCTTGGAACGACACCTGTCTGGCATTTTAAGTTGGTGGCACGTAGCACGTGGGTTCAGTATGCCGCCGCCCAAAAATCACCATGTCCGCCGCCCCTGGACTGGCCGCCACCCCAATGGTCTTCCAAGTTCGCCGGAGTTTGGAACTTGTCACCAGCATACATTGCGGCTCATTAGCCGAGCCGCGTTTGATTGACCAAATTATTATGTAATTAGTTGACCCACATCCCAGCAGGTGGTGCTGCCAGTGTCCAGTACCAGTGTGGTTCTCTTATCAGTCTGATTTATTCATGTTTCTTGGGGCTGACTTATTGGAACGTGTTTTTTGTCGGCACGTCGTCGGTGACAGGAAGTATCCGTACCGGCACTCGACACTTCAGGGACTTTGATTTTTTCAGCTCAGATTGGGAAATCTTATGTGAGTTATTCCAGGGGGGGTTTGGTGTGGAAATACTAACTCCAATTTTGAATTTGTTCATAAATATGTGACTGTGATCAGGTGCCAGCTTATTTCATAACTATTCAAGTTTAGTTCAGTTTAGTTATTTATTTATAAACCCAATTAATTAATATCAAAAACAAGTTGTAGAACTATCGTTAAGCCCTTGTACGTTTATCTTTGTAAATTACGAATGTCCACTCTGCATGTAAATCTAATTTATTCTCCAGACCGTAGTTGAATAAGTCCAGTTTGCTATTTTGTATTTATCTTGCAGTTTTGCACCGACTCGCCTCGACTCTAATTGGCATCTTGTGGGAGTGATCTATTCAATTAGCATCCAATTGATTCTTTACGCCCGCTGCCCTTCCACGACTCTGTGCGATCTGTTTGTTGATCTTCGAGCACAAAGCAGTTCCAGGTATTTTTGGCACCTCCACTATTTGCCCTGGTCACCCACACATCTCGATTTGCGACTTGCGTCGATCACATTTTCGCACCTTCGGCCCGGGGAGATGTTTGCCAAATATTTGGACAGCTCACGTCCCAGTACGACAAGTTGGTCAGTATCGGCCGAGGCTTTCACTGAGCGGGTTGCCAAATGGCCAACGAGGGAGTAGGCCACTCATTAGCCATTGCACTGGGGTTCGGGCCATAAAATTATGACACGACGGACGCCACCTACTTAGGGTTTGTTGACTGTTGCACTCCCTTTACATAATGAGGTGAGACCTTTCATTCACGGGAATCTATTTAATTCCAATCACGTCCTCCTCGATGGCTTTGGTTTCGATTTCATTTGAATTTTTCTTTTCGGCGAGCCTCCTATAAATTGTTAGGGTTCAATTCCCAGTCAGCACAGTCAGACGACAACAGTTCATCGGACAAAACCGAAAGCTAACCATTTGGATATACAAACATCAAGCCAGGAATAAATCAGAATGAAGGTGAGGATGAGCCTGTTTCCAAAGGGATTACAAACTTAAGGAAGTATTTTTTCCATCTAGTTCTTCGTGTGCATTTTGGCCTTGGTAGGTGTGGCTCAGGCTGGTCTGCTGCCCCACTTGGAGCACCCCCATGGTGGCTACCACCATGCCGACCTGCCCCACTTGGTCGATGCCGAGATCCACCACTCCGACGGCATCCACTTGGGACACAGCGCCGCCATTGTGCATCATGATGATCACCACTTTGACCATCACTTGGATCACCATGTGGTGGAGTCGCTGCCAACCACTGTGTACCACCACGAAGAGTACCCGCACCACTACCACTACGCCCGCCTGCACGCCGCCCCCGTCCACCACTACACCCACTCGGCGCTCAAGTCGGTGGTGCCAGCCCACTTGGATGTCCACAGCCACTCTAACCTGCTGTCCTTCGCCAAACACGCCCTGCACGGCAAGTACGGAAAGGTCAGGATCACCGAGACCCACTACTGAGTAATTCCCAAAACAAATGTTGTCCAAAAAAATCCCGATTAGCCAAACAAAGCATCTTTACTTTTAATTTATTGCCACTAAGTTTAGGATTACTTACAAAACCGAATACTCCAGAAAGCAATGATTTTGATGATTAAAAAAGATTGTTTACAATTTAATTATGAGTCATAGTTGGTAGTTTCTAGTTTTATGGTAATTTTTTATTGCTTTTTATTTGCGCACCTGACTGTGAGTCAAAGGCACTCAGAAGAGTCTTTAATATTTCTAAAATGTAATTTATTACGCGGTTACTTAGCTCACGAAATGATCGCACTGACGGGTGAGAATCCGTGAATTTAGCCAATGCATATAATTGGAAGTGCTAGATACTTTCCCATTCTACCCCAGATCCCCTCCAGCCCCCACCAGATGCCTACTGATTTAGAATCATCGCATCCGTCAGAGCCTTCAACGCGGCCCAGACAATTTATCATCCGCTGTGCGAGCCGAAAGTAATTTACTTGCAATTTAAAGATAAACAGGCGCGATAATGTCTACAAAGCATAAACGTGAGTTGACGCCTACAATCCGCAAAGGGGGTCGAAAAGGTGGGCCAAGGGGGTGCTGAGCCGAGGGGCTGTGCGGCTGGTGGGGCACGAGGGGCAACCATGACCATACATCATCGCGATATCGCAACGAAAGAGAGTGAAGGTGTTGCTAGTTGGTGTTGTGTGTTGCTGGTGTTGCAGCCTTACTGTTGTACTGCTGTTGCTCTTTCTGGTGGTGTTGCTGTTGTTGTGGCTGCCTCACGCCATCCACTTTCAGAGGGAAGAACAATTGCAACTGCCGCTGCACGATGCGGCAGTTTCGAGTTGCAACTTGCAACGCAGTCGACCCTGACAAACAAACGCTGAGGGCGTCGTGCTCATGTTCGGAGCCCGACTTGGACCCCGGATCAGAGCGCATGCGCAACACGTGGCCGGGACACCACTGTAAAGTGGCTAAAAGAGCAGCGGCACTGGGAGGGAACCCTCCGGTCCGACCCAGGAGCTTCCCCTTTTTTGTCGGTCTGTGGCCGGGGCAAGTGCAGCCAAGCGGCTTCTGCAATTTTCCAGTCGTGCGCCATGGCAACGCGTGCCGGGCTCATTTTCATTTTCATTGAGCCGCCGGAGGTGGAGGAGGAGGCGGAGATAGATGCTGGTCATGAGGAAATTAGCCTCTTGGCTAAGAACAGAGCTAGTTGGATTTTCTGGCCTTTTACCGCTTCATACAGAGCTAAGCCTAAGCTGGGCTGCCTCAAAACACTGAGAGGCATTGCAACTTTGCAAAAAATCCCTGCAGCACAGCCACTTAGTAGCCTAATCATTGCCTCCAAAAGTATCTCTCAGTGTGGCGTTGACAAATATTTTGTACAAATGGCCCGGCTCTTTGTTGCACATTTGCAAAGCGCCTCTGAATGGTCTGTGAATGGCTCTGTTAGTGGCAGGAGGCACCAAAGTCGTGCCACACGAAGCCCGAAACTGAACCAAATGCGGCACGACTCTTCTTTTTTTTTTCGTTTTTGTGGCTTGTCGTGCGTTGAATGGGGCAACATTTTGTGCCACGAGATGCGTCCGAGTGTTGCAAACGCCACAGCAAGCTCAACACCTGCCATAACTTCGATAAATCATAACCACAAAGATGTGTCTGGGCTGACAAAGCTGACAAAAAACATTGATGCATAAACACCCGCCAGTTTTGAGTTTTAGGTTTTTTTGTTATCGGCGAGTAGGAGGTTTTTAGGTTTCCAGATTCCAGATTAGAGGCCCAGAGCCCAGTCCAGTCCAGAGCACAGAGTTCGCCTTGCTACGATTAAAGCCAGCCTAGTGTGGCAGCGCTAATGGCAAAGACACACAAGTCGCTGGGTGTTCGCCGGGGAAGGGGGCGGCCAGTCAGACAATGCCACAGTTTATATTGCAGCCTGTGCCTGGTCATTAGCAGCATTGCAGCTGCAACAGCAACAGCAACCGGCAATCGTGGCGGTGTAAGTGAGGTAGCACCGCAGCAACACAGCAATCGCAACAACAGCACAAGCAACAACCATAGCAGCACCAAGTCCAGGTCCAACTCCGACTCCATCTCCAGCTCCGCAACGTCGTCTGTTTGGCAGCGTAATTGTGTTAAAAATTACTCAGGCATCTTAATCACTTTGGTAAATATTTTGCTTGCCAGAGTCAGAGCCAAAGCCAAAGCCAGAGCCAGAGCCATTGCCGGAGCCGGCTAAGGAGAAGGAGTTTTGGATTCGAGGTTAATGCGCTGCAGCTGCACCAGCAACAGCAACACCAACAGAAACAGACGCAAAATGTTGCTAGTTCGAAAATCCAATGTCCCCTCCCACATCCCCGATAATGCCACATCGACAAATCTGTGGGTGTGGGTGTGCGTGTCTCCCAAGTCTCAATACTCCCGATATGCCGAAACATGCAAACTTTAAAACGAGCCGGGTTTCATTCATGAAATTGCCTCGATTACTTCCGGAGCGGTGAAGGGAAATCGGTGGCAAGAAGAGTGGCAAGATGGTGGCATGGCGGCAAGGAGGCATGAAGGCAAAAAGGCGGGCAACTCAACTTGATTGCATGTTCGGGCTCAGTTCATTTTCAACAGCATCAAGGATCAAATGCATTAAATACGAGAACGAGACCAACTTGCAACATCAACTCCAGCTCCAACTCCAGCCACTTGCAACAACAACAACAGCAACAAATCTACTTACTCGCAGTTCGCCGCTTTATCGGAGTTGCTCATCTGGCGTCCTCGTCCTCTGTCGTCCAGGGTCCCCAGGTACCAGGTAACAGGTACTAGGTCCAGCTCCATGGCCAGGTACCCTCACATCCCCATCCTCATCGAGCACATCCAGGGCGGGTGGCGCACCTGCGGCAAACTGCTTTGCAATTATGAGATTTTTTTGTTGCGCTTCCTCTGCGTTGTGGCGACCGGAGGCCAGCGGCGCGGAGTTATGCTAAACAAAACAGGAGCGGATCAAGAGAAACTGATTTTGTTATTTAATTTATAAAGTATTATATTGAGATGATGAGATGTTCTTGCTGCCAAAGTCTACAATTTTTATATAAAAGATCTCTTTAAAATTCCATCAATTATTTCCCTTAAAATTAAGTTTCTTAAAAAATTACTTACCCTTATTATTTAAAGCAACCAAAATAGCCTTGAAGCTTCCCAAAAAAATTCCCTTAAAAATATTTGAAAATTCCAGCCCTGCTTCCAAAAAGGAAGAGGTGGAGTAAACGCTGCCAGGTCGATGATGTTGCAGGCAGCTTCTGTTGATGCTACACTTTCTCCCTGCTCTGCCGCAACTCCACCGGCAGCAACAGCAGCAGCAGCAGCAGCAGCAGCAGCTTCCCCGGCATCATAATTTAGACTGCAATCATCATTATCGTTCGAGACCAGCGACCCGAGAGCATTCTTGAGCAAAACGCCCGCACGTAGACATTTTGGAGAAGAAGTCGGCAAGTCGGGAAGTTGGGAAGTCGGAAGGCTGGGGGAACCGGGCGCTGGGCAGTTGGGGCGCTGAATTGGGCCCAGCCTTGGCAACTGTCAGTCACTGGAGCCTGGACTCTGCCGACTCCGGAGTCCAGAGCAGTCAGTGAGTCTATCATTCAGTCAGTCAGTCAGCGCAAAGTTGCCAGCAATTTGCTCAAATAAAAACGTAAAAACGAAATGCAGCAGCAACCCAGGAAGCTGCGCATGCGTCTCTGGCAGCATATAATTGTCTCTTGGGCAGGGACCTCAACTTAACTTTGGAGAGGATCCACACAGCTGTGCCTTGGCCTGCCACTGTGCAACTCGCAGCTCACTTTTGGTGGTTCGATGTTGCAACTCCAACGGCAGCAGCAGCAGCCATGTCCGGCGGCAATTGTAATTACCGCAGTTGCGCCTCCCGTCCGTCGGGGCCAACGCCTTCGCCATACTCACACTGATCGAAAAAAATCAATTATTTTATACGACACCTATAGTTATGATATCAGAATTATGAAAAGAAAGTTTAATAAGCCAGGAGGTATTAAGAGCAGGCTTAAATCAAGGAATTTGTGGCTTCTAAATGGCCAATCAAACACTGCCTCTTCTTGCTAGATTAATTTATATCTTAACGTATTTTTTTTACTTTTTCTCTCAGTGGCTTACTGCACAAATGCGCAGTAGCCTGGCATTTCAGTTACGCCTGCAGTTTGTTATTACGCGCATTATTTCTGCCGCAGCCCTTCGGAGTCGGAGTAGCATCCTCCCAATCTGGGATACCCATTTCCATCCTCCAGCCCATCCTGGCAGGCCCATCCCCTCCTGATTGCATTCGGTTGAGACTCCAGGGCAAAAGGCATCTTACATTAGCCGCGCATTCCAAAAATCCGCTCCTCCAAAAGTTTTTCCAGTTTTGAATTTTTTTCGTTTTTGGGTCGTTTATTTATTTTCGTATTTTGTGTATTTTTTTTTTGCGATGGAAGAGAAACTAATTAGAGTAGACTTAATGGAAATACTCGTAGTTATTCATAATTTAGTTAAACGTTAGCATACAATGACGGAACTAGCCAGAATGAGTTCCTTTAGTTTTGTTTTCATTTTTTTTGGTTTTAGTACAATAATGAATTATGACTTTGGGCAGCTAAGGATTGTCTGAGTTTTAAGGGAAGAACTTAAACTAATGAAGCTTCTTGAATATTTTTAGTTTTTAATTTACATAGCACCGCAAGAGTAGATCGAACTTAATAGCACCTTAAATAAATTGGAAGATCGGATTGGGTTTTTAGGGGAACTTGGTTTTGGGTTTTGCGGATTTCGGGCACCCTTCGATTTGGGATCCCAAAATTATAGCATAATTAGCAGTTGGAAGTGATTCGATTTTGTTTTCAACTAATATCACAATGTTGCTCGCTGATTCTCTCCTCTTGAATGCCTTTTCGAGTTCGATATTTCGATAAAATTGTATCATCATATAATAGTTATCTTTGATTCTGGAAGTCTTAGTCTAGAAGGCAAATGTAAGCTAAGATTTGAAAAGTCTTTTGATCGGTTAGCTATCATAGGTATTGCTTTTAATTTACATAGTTAGTTTGATTTTGATTTCTGATTTAAAATTCGAAAAGCGCTATAAAAATATGTCTGAAAGCGATTCGAGTAAAATTTACTGGAGTTTAGTTGAGTGAAGAATTTTTTGTATTAATTCAATATTAAAGGTTCTTAGCTTTACTTCTTAGGATTTTCTTCGATTCTAGTAAATGGAGCTCTATTAAAAAATACTTGACTGAATGCGAATCAGCATTTTATGCTTAAAATGTTTAACTTCTTAGAAGCGTTAAGATGAAAAATCGTATCCTATTTGTTTTGTTAAAAATATGTTACGTAGTTCTGGTAAATATATATATTTATTTTTATGTATATACGCCCCTTCAGGGGCTATCTTCTCTCCATTATAGTTTATTGTTAATCATTAGTCAAAAAGTTGATTAGGCCTGGCAAAAATCGCTCAATGTACAAGGCAAAAGGTCTATCTTACAATATCTCAATTTTAGGTTTTGTGAATGAGTATCAAAAATGTTTCTGTTGTTGTTCTGTTGGTAAGGCACTTCCGTGTGACGGAAATATATAGCACTATGTCTACGTATAAATCTAGGATCTATTTCTATATTTATGGTTGCTTATATACAATAAAGTTAGTCGTTTCTGTTCCAGAGCAGTTACCAGCTTAGTGCCCGTAAATCTCCGCCAGGCGAAACAATCACTTGGATGTGATCCAAAGCCCAAACTGAATTATGTTGATGGAAACAATGCATAAACGGCGACAACCCTGCCGCACCACTGAACAGTCCTGGCCACCCTGCGATACCCGTGGATCCCCGTCAGGCCAAACTTCAAACCCAAAACTCAATTTTCGCGCTACAATTACAAATGACAGCGATAAATTTCGCGACCAGAGACAAAAGGAAAGTTGGATGCTAGCCATTCCCCCCTTTGGAAAAATTTCTGAATCTCTGAACGCATATCCCCCCATACTCCACTCTGCGGCGAGGAAGTGATAATAAACGCACAACACGCGCGCCTTGTTTAGAGATTTATGCGTGCCACAAAATAGAATCCAACTTGAATAGAGGAGTTGACTTGAAAATAGAATAACTTACATGATGGACTATAATGTCTGCACTTATAAAGTAATGGGGATTATAAAAAAAATACAAGTTTAACTAAAGAATATATGCTTGGTCCTAATCCTATCTCCTCTCCTAAATCAAAGCCACGTCCATAACATTTTTTAAGGTTAGTAAGTTTTGTTAAATCCAAGCATAGTCCTATAGTTAGGGTATTTTTAAAAGTAGACCAGAAACCTCCATTGCAAGTTGGAAATAATGTCAGACGCTGGTGACCAAAATGATGCACGACCCCAGCGGATTATGCAATGCGGCATCATCACATCTAGGCCCGGCTAATACAGTTTGGCCCATAAGTCACTACGCCATTCCACGCTACTTCCCCGTCCCTCCACCTTCTTCATCCAGTGATAGAGTGCAACATGCTAGCTGCAACTTAGCCGGCTGTAGTCGTTGTATAGTTGTAGTAGTAGCTGCCCTGATTTATGGCCCCCGAGATGCGAAACTCCTCCATTTTCCACAAAAACCGACACAATGTCTGTCAATTGGGGCATTTTCACTGCTTAATTACGCCAGGACGGGCAGCAAGGGGAGGGATGGTGGTGGAGGTGGAGTGGGTGTGCCGCGCCAAGTCGCCAACTGTGCCACGACTGCAGTTCGTGTTTGTTTTGCAACCGCACTTATTAAGGAATTAATTTAGTCATTGCAAAAACAAGGTCAGACATTAGCCGCAAACTGCAATGCAGCAAGTTCCACAAGGTGGCTTGCCATCCCCTGCCACCCACCACCCACCGCCTACTACCCACTAAGAAACTCCCACGCCTGAACGGCCGTGTTCTTCGTGTTTCGAGGCCATTAGACCCCAAGAAAATTTCCATGCGAAGAACAAGGACTTGGACTGTATGGCTTTTGGTGTAGCCCCCGTACTGCCTCCTGCCGCTTGGCGTGGGAAAAACCTGGCCTAAACCGGAGAGTGGGTGGGAAAATGCGGCCGAAAGCGGGGGCTGCGTGCCAAAATGCAGTTTCGTGACCGGCGAAAGGAGCTGACTGCGCCTTGTAAGCGATTCCCATTGCCTAAAAGCTTGTAAGCCAGTTTCCGGCTCCGGCTAAAACTACGGACGAAAAACTCACCGGAAAGTATAGGTTTTAGGTTCGTAAAAACCAAAAAGTGGTCGCAAAGTCCACACGGCTAATCATAGCAATAATATTCAATTAGGGCGGCTAGACTTCAAAATATGTTGAGAGCATAGAAAAATATATAGAATAAAATAAAATAATTCAAAATAATATGAAAACCATAAGCTGAAAAATAAGAAACCCATAAAATAAAAAACAAATCATATTCAATTTAAATTCTGTTTTGTATGACATTGTCCTTTCGTGGGGACTTTGTTTTGTTTTATTTTGTGAAAAACGCTTTTGAACTAAGTGCTAATCATAACCAACTAGAATAACATAAGTTAATAATTTATTTAAACGTTTAGCTAAAAACTAATAATCAATAAGCGGATAGGGGCTTTCCTTCATTTCATAATAAATAACGAAAAACTTCAACTTGAAACATGGATAGTCCCACCGCCTTAGTCTTAGCCCCGCCCCTCTGGCAGAACCAACTGTCCCACTTGAGGGGCGGAAGACAGGGAGGGGGGCGTGTCCAATCCAAAGTGGCTTTTAGGTACTAAAGAAAACTTAAATGTTTTAATTTCATTTCATGAAAACAAAAAATATAAGAGTAGTGGAAAGTAGGTGTGAGAGCATAAATCAAATTACAAAGGTAATTTTAATTTAACAAATTTGTTTTTGTTGAACAAAAAAAAGGAATTGTTTTTTAAGAGTTGTTTTGTGTTTTTTTATAGTTTATGTTTCTTTGAAGAATTGGTTGTTGTGTTTGTTTTTATTTTGTGCCCTAGGGAGAATTCTTTGTCTTTTGTTTGTTATGTGTAGAGCGTAAATTAATTAAATAAGTAAAATTAAATTAATACAAATTGTTGTGGTATGGGTTTACAGGCTATTGAGTAGGGTTACAAATAAATTAAGAGTTAATTAAAAATTAGGAGTAAATGTCTAATGCCCTCCGATGTGCGGCACGCCTATTTAATTACTATATAGTCTAGTAATTTCAAAGTTGCTCAAAATGCTGAGAGACCAGACCGTCCGAGGGTCCTGATCGATTAACTCTATATATATATATATGTATGTATATAGTCTACGCTATAGCCTATAGCCTAAGTTTGCGGAACATGGAATTGCTAGCTGTATCGAAGATCCTGCCTGTCGGTCTAAACTCCTTTTCGGGGAGGGGTTCGATTAACGCAAAAGGATCTAGCAACTAGAACTAGTTAAGTGCTAATACGTTGGGTGGTCTTGAGTGCTGCCCTCTCTTTCTCTCTTCTATTTTTCCTCTCTTCTTTTTCTTTTTTTATAAAAAATTAGTTTGTGGTTTTTTGTTTTTGTTTTTAGCCTATTTAAACTGTAGGTAGTAATTAGTTTCCTCAGTCTTCGCAGAGATTTCCGGTACAAGTACAAACTGCTCTAGTTAATATTTTTTTTTTGTTTTTTTTTGTTTAGCACTAAGCTGGGCCTGCTTTTGGGATTCTGTTGTTGTGTCTGTTGTGTGTCTGTGTGTGTGTTTTTTTTTTAGCAGGTCATAAACCTTCTGGCCAGATACCGTTAGGCGCTCTCCGTCTTCACCACAATGGGCATGGGTCCTCCCAGGCTCAAGCCGGGCTGGGACTTTTGCAACAGCTCCTCCTGCAGCAGGCTCATCGGGTTCATGGGCAGGCCCATGTTGAGGCCCATTCCCAGGCCCATGTTCATCTTCATGTCGAGCAGCGGCGGCAGGGAAGTGGGCGAGTTGGGCTCCTCGCTGAGGCGCTCTCCGCCTCCGCGGCGGGACTCCCTGCCCTCACGTCCATCGCCCCTGCCCTCGCGGCGCTCCTCCCGCGAGCCGCCACGGGACTCGTAGCGGGTGTGGGTGCGCATGTGCCGGGTGATCATGTCCCGGCGACAGGCCGCATAGGGACACTGGGGACACTTGTAGGGCTTCTCGCCGGTGTGGGTGCGCTGGTGGGTGGACAAGTGGTCCGAGCGGGAGAACACCTGGCCGCACACCTTGCAGGTGTAGGGCTTGATGCCGGTGTGCAGGCGCATGTGCCGCGTCAGCATGTCGGAGCGGGCGAAGGACCTGCGGCAGACGTCGCAGGAGTAGGCTTTGGCAATGTCGTTGGCGGGATTGCGGCTCTTGTGCCGCGAGGCCATGTGCTTGGCCAGGCGGTCGTGCAACGAGAACATCTGGCCGCAGGTGGGGCACACATAGGCCACATCCGAGCCCGGCGGCATCTCCTCCACCACCGGGGACACGTCGAGGTTATAGCGCCAGGCCACCGTCTCCTTGGTGGTGGGTGAGGCTACGTCGCCCTTGATCACCGGCACACCCACAGTGGTGGTCGGCACATGAGGGTGGTGCAACTGCTGATGGTGCAACGGATGCAGTGGCATCTCCAGCTTGATCATAGCTGCTGCTGCTGCCGCTGCCGCTGCATGGGCAGCATTCATGGCATTAGCGTAGGGGGATCCGGGAGGCGGCTGATGGTTGGGGGTGGCCGCTGCCGTGCTGGGCGTGTGCCCGGAGTGGCTGCTGGAGGCCGGCGACAGGGCGTTCATGCTCTCCAGACTGCTGGCCGCACTCATGGCCGCCGGTGGTGGTGGCATCATGGCCCCAGAGGATTCTTGGGAGGATTTGGAGCCAGACTTTTTGTACTTCTTGGGCTCCAACAGATCGCTGCGCATGCACAGATCCAGCGGACGCTCCTGCGGCGGCGGCATGGGCTTCTTCTCACCCTTTTTGCCCCTCGGCTTGGGACTGGAACGCTTCTTGGTGGTTGGCTGGCTTGCTGCTCCACTGTTGGTCACCGACGAGTCGCTGCGCGGCGGCGACGGCAGCGACAGAGGAGGCGAGGCATTGGCCAGCAGCGTGGCAGGCGGCAGCAGAGGATTGGAGCCACCCTTGCGCTCCAGGCCACTCGACGGCGATGTCTCCGTCTCCGAGGCTATCGAGGATGGGGTGTGCTGCAGCGGTGAGGGATAGAGATCATGGCGACGACGGAACACCTCGTTCAGATACTTGGTGTGCAGATAGTAGCCGAACAAGGGCGACGGGATCGGGAAGTACCGGTCGTAGGGATTGGGAATCTCAGTCTTGATGTCCACGTGGAGAGGATTCTCCTTGTTCAATGGCTGAAGCTGGTTCTGATCCTGGAGCAGATTGCCCTTGGCGGAGGCCTGCAGTTGCAGTGGGCTCATGCTGATCCTAGGACTGTCCTGGTCACCGTTGTCATCGCTGTGCGAGAGCTCCAGATCTTCGCCGGAAATGTCCTCATTCTCATGGTCCATGTCCGGTTCGTTCTCCTCATCCTCACTGACTGGCTGCTCGCTTTTGATGTACTTGCCGGGATCCTCATGATCCTGGTCCTGCTCATGATCCTCATCCTCCTCCTGCAGAGAATCATCCTGATCCTCCGTATCTTGGTCGTGATCCTCCTGACCCTCCTCGTCCATCTCCATGGGCTCCGACTTGCAGGCCAGGCCATTCGAGTGGTTCTCATTGTTGTTGTTATTATTGTTGTTGTTGTGGTGCAACTTGTCCAACACCGCCGAGAGCCTCTTGCGCTTGCGCTGCTTCCATGGCACCGCCAAATTGTTGTTGGCCACACTTGCCTGGTTGTTGTTGTTGTTGTTAGAGGGGTTATTGGTGGTGGCCACCGCGGCAGCCACTGCCGCTGCAGCCGCCGCCTGCTGGTGCAGACTCAGCGCCAGTGGCAGGTTATGGGGATGGTGGTGCGGATGCGGCTGGTGGTGTTGCAGCGCATGCGGATGCGGATGTGGGTGCGGATACTGCAGTTGGCCGTAGGGCGAGTGAGCCGCCGCTCCGGGCGCCGGATACATGTGCGGATGGAACGGCTGCTGGTGGTTTAGGTGGTGCGGCGGTGGTGCCGGCGGGGGATGCGGGTGGGGCAAGTGGTGCGGCAGCGCATGATGGTGCTGCGGCGGCTGCGGCTGGGGCGGATTGTGCGGGTTCGCGTGGTGGTGACCATGCCCCATAGGGTCGGTGCCTTCTGCCATCGTCATGAGGTCAACTTTTTGTGGCTTTAACGGCGGCGTCTCCTTCGGGACGGATCCTTTGGGTTGGTTAGCTAAATTAATTGGGTTCAGCCCCTGCGCCGGCAGGTACAGCAAAAGCCGCGACTTCTTCGGCAACCGATTCTTATGGTACTGTAATTGAAAAAAAAAACATATGTTTATGTTAATAAAAGAAGTTTAAAATAATACGGCTTAGTAAAAATATAATATTGTAAAATATAAAAATATAAACATAATATTTTTATATAAATATAAAAATAATATTTTTTTTTAAATTGGAATATAAAAGTCATGAAAAATTTAATAACGAGTAAGAAACATTAAAAATTTGTTCTCAATACTTTAAGTTCACTCAAGTCTAAACTTCTTGAAGTCTTTAAGTGTACACACGACATGATGTTACCGCCATTTTGGTAAAATGTTCCTGGTTTTCACAAAAAAATTACATTTCGATTCTTGAAGAAAATACAAGCCAATGATGTATGAACATACATATGTATGTACATATGTATGAACTTATACACGAAAGTATGTACGGATGTAAGAAGAAGCACCACAAAAGTAATTACGGAAGTGAGAAGAAGAAGCACCTCGTTGAATAAGCACAATTCTACACTTTTTCAAGTCTACACAGATATAAATGTCGAAAAATGTTGTGAAAATCGTTCTTGGTTAGAACACCATTTTTCATTTCGATTCCTAAAGACAATGACACGCAATGATGTACGTACATACATATGTATTGATGTTCAAACGTAAGAAGAAGCAACGAGTTAAAAAGGCCCAAGTCTACACTTTTTCAAGTCTACAAAGATAGTATAAAATGGCGAATATTTTTGTTATAAACTTTTTTGTCTAAAACACAATTTTTCATTTGGATTCTTAAAGACACTACAAGACAACGATGTACGAATGTATGTATGGACACATATACATGTGTAAAAAAAAGGAAGCACGGACGTAAGAGACCATAAAAGCATCTCGATGAAAAAAATTCAAGGCCAAATCTTCACACTTTTAAAAAATCAAATGAAAGTTACAAAAAAATACCCACCACCATTTCGACTTTTAAGATCACTTGTTTTTAATTGAAATTCTAATAAAAGCACTTGTGTTTCACAATCACTTTTAATAGAAATATCACACTTCAAAACGCAAAATTTTCAGGAGCTGATGTTGCAGAAATGTTGCCGATGTCGTCGCCGGAGAAGAAAAGAAAGAAGGAAGAAGTTCGTTCTCCCACGCAGGGTTACCGCAGGGTTGCCAGGCACTCCTACGCCTTTGAGGCACAGGCCCCCCTGTAACCATTGTAACCTAATTACGAAACGAACTCCGAACGGACTTTAATGGAGGCGTGGCAATCAGTCAAGCGTCAAAATGCTGCAATTTCTTGGCTTTCAGTCAAACAAATAAATAAAATAAATTTTTGGCGCTGAAGTTGCCAAAAAAAAATAGAGAGAGAGAGGGGGAAGACGCATGGAAAATATAACGTAACGAGAAGACAGATGACAACAACGGCGGCGTTTACGCTGCGTTAGTTTTATGCGTTTGTCTGCGGGGGCTAGAAAGGAACAACCGGGGGGGAAATGGGTACAGTTAAGGGGCAAGGGGTTAGAATGGTCGGTGGTGGGTACAGTCGCCTCTGGTCTCAAACTCCCGCTGTGGGTATTTTTATGGCATTGCCAGCAGATTTTATGGCGCTCAAAGTTTATGGGGCCTTTGGATTTTGGCGCTGCCTTCGCCTTGACCACACCGCCCCCTTCCCTTCCCGCCCTCCCTTTAAGCTTCTGGTCAGCGAAATCAATGAAGGATAGGAACGAAAAGGACTGAAATGGAGGACAGTCCTGGACGACAGGATCGCATCGCATCTCGCCGTCTGGCGCCAACATTCGCAAATAATTAAAAGTTACCACACATGTGTGGTGGTGGTGGTGAGCAGGGCTGGGTGGGTGTTTTTGGGTGGCTCGGTGGTGCTACCGAAAACTGAGCTAAAAGCAGTTGCCAGCCCAGCAGAAGGACAAGGCACCACAACAACAGCAGCAACACCGACGGCACGTCTGGAAGGACGTTTGCTGCATTGCGCTTATCCTTGTGATATATGAATATTGTGCACACACGCACGTAGCTGGGAGTCGCTTGATGCAGGGGGGGTGGCGACCTAGCTGGGAGCAGGAGCAGGAGCAAAGCTTTGTGCTGTGTCTGCCATAAGCCGTCAGTTTATGGTGGGGACTCGCAGTCTTCCAGTGAAAGAAAAAATTGAAGAAAGACTCGAATTTTTCAAGCTACTATATCATAGTCCTGTCTGATATTTTTTTCCAGTGCACCCATCGCCGTTGTCCTTCTGTTGGCAATTTGCGCCTACAACTGTGCTGGAGTGGGTCGAGGGGTTAGGGTTCAGGGGTCGATGGTATTAAGAGCATGGGCCGGCTGCAGGAGGAGTCCATGTCCTTAACGGTCACGTGTTTGCTTTACGTGTTGAGAAAATGAAAAGAGCCGGACCCGTCTGTTAGTGAGTCGAGGAAAGGTGTTGATGGTTCAGCGACAGGGACACCTGTGTCCGTATCCGTATCCTTATTCCCCCTCCGTCCCCCCCTTGCTGGCTATCTCCAGTCAGTTAGTGGCTTGGCATTGCTGTTGTTATTGTTGTCGCATATGTCAGACTCTCCTTTTGGCCTTAATGGAGTGCGTGTCCTTTGTCCTGGTCGTCGTTCGGTTTGGCTTTAAAGTTGCCCCGCAACTTTTTCGATTTCGCAACTTAAATGGAAATGGTCTGAAACTTTTTGCATATCATAATTCATGTTCTATTTCCGGGAATAGGGTCACTCCCTCCACACCATCCCATTTTTATTATTATCCACCCGAAGGGCAATTAATATTCTTAATTAGGGTAATTAAACAGCGCAATGCTGACAACTATGCGAAAAACTTTACACCAACGGATTTTTCCACGGCATTGGCTTTTCCCTCTCAACTTTTTCCGCTTTATAGTATATGTACATGTGGATATTCATATAATAAAATGGACAAAAAACTGGGGGGAAAAAAAAACATAAATTTTCACGCCAGTGGAAGTTCTCTTCTGGGCCCCGACTTGTCCAAGGTTCCAACGCTTTGGGGCCTTCTTGTTAGCACGCGAAATCGAGGATTGGTTTCTGGACGGGGTGCCGGGAGAGTTGTCGAGATTTTTGATTTATGGCTGGCAGAGTTTGGACAACCACATATATATCTGTATATACGTATATCTGTGTATATGTCCATACCCTTGCCAAGTGTTAATTAACTGCGAACAGAAGTTGGCCATTTAAATCGGAAAAGTTATTGCCCCGCTCATAAAGATGCATTTATTATTAAATAATTGAGTTGAAATTTAAAAATTAATTTTAAACTAACAAAAGGGCATTGAATTCTTCGATTTTGAATTATTATTTTTTTTGGCAAAGATTATATCAGAATCGGGAATCGCAGAACTCGGATGATGGTGTGAAATGATGGCAAATGAAGTGTTAATTTTGGCCACGGCTGAAATGACTTTCAGTGGCCAAAAATCATGAAGGGGAAAAACTGCGGGCAATCAGAGATTTAATTAAGCTTTTTCTTAAGTGTAAACATGGCGCTAACAAGTCGCCAGCCAAAAGACCTGGCCCAGACCAAAAAGAGCGGACACCGAAACATGCTTGTAAGCAAATGTTTGGCAAAGTGGAACGGCGAATGCCAAGTGCTCGTAAATGATCTGAAAACTGAAAAGCTAAAAAACTGAAAAACCAAAAACCGAAAGCTTGGAAAGTGCAAGCCAAGTGCAAAATGGTTAAAACAGAAGACAGCCAAGTGGCTGCTTAATTACGCCAAACAACGAACAATGAACAACAATTGCCGAACAACTGCAACTACAACATGAAGTGGCTCAAACAACTAGGAAGCTCAGCGCATTAAATGGCGCTCATTTGTTGTCAACAATGGCAAAAAAAAAAATATTTATATATATATATAAAATATAATATAAAAAAAATAAACGAGAACTCAGATTTGCCAAGTCGGCTTTGTCATTTCAGTCAGCAAGCTGCGAACAGAAAACTGAAAATGTGCAATGCCATGGAAATATGATTCACGGCCAGTTTTTGAGGCAAGTCCATAAAGGTGGCACAAAATAATGTTTAAAATAAAACAAAATTCTCAAATTAATAGCCATAAACAAGGGGGCAAATATTACTTTATATACAATATTTAAATAAAAAGAGTATTTATCCTTGCATTTACTTGTTTATATTGTATCTCTTGGTGAGTGTTTACTGTATTTGCTTGGCATTTGTCACGCTTATTACACACAGCGAAACTTGATAAACCTTTTTGCAGTAGCCCCTTCAAACACTTCTCCTTTCTGGCCGACACTCCCCCCCCTTCCAGGGGACTGGACGACGCCACGATAAGCCGCGTGCCATGTGCCTCCTGTGGCATGGCGTCACCCCCACCACACCATACCAGTGCCATTTCCAGTTGCCTTTTTTTAAAAGCGAAGACAGCTCGCAGAGTTAAGCAAACAAAATTGCAGAAATTAAAATGTAAACAAATTGTTGGTGTGCGATTGCTGCGACAGTTGTTGCTGGTTGCCAGTTGCCACGCCCCATGCTGCCCCACCCGCCCGTCATTGGGGGAATGGAGAGTGTGGCCATTAATCTGGCAAATGTCTCTGACGCCATTTAAGCCACACTTCACTCGAGTTTACTTCACTTGTCTTTGGCCGTAATAAACGACATCATAAACATCAGTATTCAGCGTGATATGCATTGATAATGCCGTCAGCAGGGGGGGAGGGGATGAGGGAGGGGGGTGGCAAGAGTCCCGACTCCCGACTCGCGACTCCCAAGACTCAACTTCAGACACAAGTGCAAAGAAAACAGCAACTCGTTCGCTCGAAGGCAAACAAAGCATGACGGAGCAGAAATATGGCTAATAAAATAAAACGCCATTTGCTTAGCCAACGAACTCAACTGCTCATCAAATGCGAAAAAAATCATATAAAAAAATGTATATCTATAAAAAACTTATATAAAAAAAAAGTGGGAAAAACTCCAACGCCTACAACAATCGCCGGGCTGTTGCTGGTAGCCAATAACAGCAGCAACATGTTGCTGAGA